ACACCACTGTTCTATTCCTGGCTGGCCTTTGTAAGGTGGAACTGCTACACAACTTCCAGTTGTTACTGGACGCTGAGTTGGTGGTGGTGTCGACGCTGGTCGTTTAGTTGATAGGGGAGACGAACACTTGCAATGTGTTGAAGGACAGAATCCCAGAGCACAATTGGTGACACACCACTGTTCTATTCCTGGTTGACCTTTGTAAGGTGGAACTGCTACACAACTTCCAGTTGTTACTGGACGCTGAGTTGGCGGTAGTGTCGACGCTGGACGCTGAGTTGGTGGTGGTGTCGTCACTGGACGCTGAGTTGGTGCTAGTGTCTTCACTGGACGCTGACTTGGTGGAAGTGAATTGGTGCTCGGACGAGGAGTTGGTGACTGTGATATTGATGGACGTGTTGGATTACCAGTTGGAGATGGAGGTGGTACAGAGCTACCTAGGAGCCTTTTCACAGAGTTCATGAGTGGATAGTTACCCTTGCCACAAGACTGGCCATTGAAGTCATCAAGATCCAGAGCCCAGAACATGGCACCAGCTAAGCCTTTCGCTTTTATCAATTGTTCTATCTTTAGGGATAGACTTTTCTCATTATCGAAGCCAACCCAGTCGGTGTTAATGTATCCATATGGTGCTTTTACCTCACTTTTGTCAGTTGAAACGACTTTCATGCCATTGTTTATTTCATCACAAATCTCATAATAGGCAAGATATCCGGACTCTTTTGTGTATGGACCTTTCTTAGCCTTTGGCCAAGCAGCCTTTGGTGCGTCGAGGCCATGATTATTTGCGTCTTGAAGTTTGAAACCCCTTCCATACGTAGCAAGACCGAGGGCGATCTTACTGGGAGGGGCACCKTTGCTAATCCAGTACTGTGTAGCAAAGCTTACAGTCTGAACATCTCCATGACGTCCAACTAGAGCTGTGTGATGTCCAGTATGACTTTCCCACTGTCCCCGTAAGTCGTAAGCCATAAGGTTGATCAAGTCAAGAATTTTTCCAATTTTGCTCACTTCGTAAGCCTTATCGATTGTCGCCTTACCAGCGGCAACTGCAGCAGTAAGCAACAGTCTTGGACGGTCAGATGACTTACCCTCGGCTATGAATGCATTCATCAGCTCTTGGCAAAGGATGGTAAAACGTTGCTTGTCTTGGGATGGAGACCCTCCACGGACTGCAGGGTATTCCCAATCCAGGTCCAAACCATCGAAGTTCCATTTTCTCAAAACGTCGATTACAGAGTCAATGAATAACTTTCTTGTCGCAGCGGTTTTCACCATGCGCGAGAATGGACTGTTTGAATTCTCGTGGTTCCATCCTCCGACTGCCAATAAGGTCTTTAACTCTGGATTTTTCTGTTTGAGAGCATTGAATTTTGTGTACAGTTTGTCGTCATTCCACTCGAACATGGCGAGCTTGTTGTTTTGGTCAATCTTGGCAAAGGAATACATCAGATGTGTACAAAGAAACGGATCAATGTTCTCTGGAAAGAACTTGCCGCGTCCTGGCCTATACTGAGACCAGTTGGTATGGTAGCAAACTCGTACATAGTTGGCTGCAGTGAACGACATCAAACTCAACAGCAAGAAAATCGTATATAACTGCATAGTGCGGTTTCTCTTATTSTCAGGTGGCTTGTAACCTATTAAAACGTCTGATGTCAGTGTACGAGTTTACAAAAGCTTTTGTGCATAGATGAGAAGCTATTTAGAATCCGGATCTATTAGAGAGTGCTTAAGTTGGGGCATTTTGTTGGCTTAATTATGTTTTTTAAAATGTTTTTATTGAACTTTCGTTTCATCATGATAAAGGAATATTTTAAGTGTCAACAACCTTAAAGTGTTTAGTGCCAAGTTATGTAAACAATCAAAGTTACTTACTGTTGTACTAGCCAATCCTTGGTCCTGTTTACATCAGATTCAGTAGTAGCGTAGTAAAGCGAAACTCTTTTGTTTTGTTTTCCCAGGAGGATTTAAAACAAAGACGTTTTGCTCTACGGCCACCCTATAGTTTCATGTAGTCACTCAGGGCCTTGGAGATGAAAAAATTAGTTATACTCATACATAAATGCAAATTACAATGTAAGGTGAGTCATTTTGTTTTAAAGAACACTAGATCATATCCTTTGTGTTACTTAATAAATAATTAGTCGCGGCTCAAAAACTAGTGAAAGAAAAGAGCAGAAAGTAAATTTAATTTAGCGCATATTTCTATGGTTAAACTAAGAAAAACTCAACGTTTTACTGTCTTATCGACAAAACTGGCAGGAAAGTGCAATAGTTGACTTTTGCGATCTATTTTACACTATATGCTAGTTAGCCTTAATTGTGTGTAAAATACGCAAAAAGCTCGACTAAAACTCGTGAGTTTTAGAACTATTTTCATTGTTTTCACTCACAGATCTCTTGCACATTTAACTGCAAGGCTGTCGATTACTGGTCTTATCTGGACACTATCAAGGCCTATATCAGAAACTACTGTAACTCCACGAAATAACGTACTCAGAATAAGTCCCTTATTTTCAGTTTCTATTTTTTCTTTTTATGCCGAAAAAGAGTTCATTTTCATTTTTTCCTGAATTTTCTATATTTTDACAGCTTCCTCTTCTTTCTTTTGAATTTACCCCAGGGGGGTAAATTCACCTATATTCGCTATACGCCAACCAGGGTATCGTTTTCAGCGATTTTACTCTGGGACAGGCTATCGTTTTTAGCGTGAAATAAAAACTAAATAGTTAGAAGTTTTAAGTACAAAAACGTTTTTCATTGAATTTCAATGGTTCAAAGGGGGGTGTTTAAATAAAACTAGARCAATGTAATCAGTACCGCATGTTATGAATTACAACTTATAGAAAAAGGGAAGTAGGCCTTCAATTGTAGTTTCTCGGCGCTACACTGCTACGACAAAACGCAAGAAAATTACTGATATACTAACTGGAGAAGCAATGAAATCAGAAGAATTTAAGAACGCTATTCTCATTTTGAACTAGAAAATGATCAAGACGTTAGAGTCATAACACTGTTAACGAAGCAAGAAGACAATTGAATTTATTATTGAATTCCTAAGTCGTTTGTTTGTAGTGATGGATGGTGGCATGGAGGTAGAGGGTGGGGGGGGGCGTTTTTTTTAAATAGACAGGGGGCGTTTGTTAGAGATGGGCGTTCAATACAAATTTCTAATCAAAGGGGGATCGTTCATTAGATAGGAGGCGTTCATTAGAAAGGGATCGTTTATTTGATCATACTATATATCATATCAGAAGTATATATTCGCCATACGGGTACGTGCCGCCAACCAGGGTATCGTTTTCGGCGATTTTACTCTGGAACGGGGTATGAGCTCGGGTATCGATTTTCAGTGATTTTTCTCTGGAATAGGATCAGGGYTTAATCCGGAATTATCGATGCTGGGTAAAAATTCACGGGGTAAAAATTCGATCTACACGCAGGCTAGTGCTGGATTTTACTCTTGAATAAGGTATCTAGGACTTGTAGGGGTCCCTAGAAGTCCTAGAATTTCTCGATTTGTCTCATTTCCAGTTTTGACCGCGTTTTGGGTAGCCTGTGGTATTATTGACACTTTTAGCTAAATGTTCGAAAGTTTGTCCTCCAAACAGTATTCAGTACTCGGAACCTGCCTATATATAAAGGCCAAGCACACTTCCACGGCACTTCATAAATATAGTGTGGGCTTCCTGTGGTTGGTCAGCGGAATCACAAAATGGCGGACGAAGGAAGTGGAAGTTCATGCACCTTCATGAATTTCTTGGTTTTTCAAGGGTTTTCATCGTCCATAGTAAGAGGAATTTCATTCCGTCTTCATGTGTAATCTTAGCAATYCCGCTCACATCAAAGAATAAGATGGCGTACGAAGAAGACTCTGTAAGATGGCAAAAGATTTCTAGTCGTCTAGTCAATTTGAGAAAGACTGACAACGACGAGTTCTTCACTAATATCAATGTTATATTAGATGAACTTAACTCTTTGGATTATTCTTCTCGCATTGTATCTGAAAACGAGGTACTTGATTGAAAAGGGAATTGAGGGAAGGATATTCTGTTGCTGTGCCCCTATAACAATCGTCTTTTTAAAATACTTGTCCTTTAAGCTTAAATATTGTATATTTATTTATTATGTCTATTACATGTAAGACTTAAGCTTATAAGCTTAWCGGTAGTTGTTAGTTTCTTCCTATTATATTTTGAGTTCTTTTATCCAGAGTCGTTGACATTTCAGTATTTGTCTGTGTTATGAAGTTGCTTGGTGCCTTTATACTCAGTTATAGTGTGTACCATAATTTTCATCCCATTTCATTGATGACACAAACCTACTATTTCTTGACTAAATCTAGATCMCATGTCATTAGTCATTGCTCAGTCACTTGGCAGATATAGTAGCTCTCTGACTTATTTTCAAATGGGCCTTTTTGAAAACTGTGTTTTTCTTATGCATACATGTATTTCAATTGTTTTTGATGTTTGCCTACAGAATGCTCTTCAAGTTTTAACTAAATGTTGCAGTCTCATTCCTGGCAATGGTACCAACGATTTACTGGCAACAAAATTATGTCAGCTCATAGTAAATCTTCTTTCCAGACAGAAGGTAAAGTGCCTTAAGGTTTTCAATCAAATTATTGAGTTTTACATGCATTTGCCAGTAGAATCACTGCATACTTTGCCTCTAACTTATTTTTTAAGAATCAAGTCATTTTATGCAAGATTATATTAGTATACTGAGACAATTTAGATGCATTTCAGACTCTGTAGATTGTTGAATGTAATCTTTTTATGTACTCTTTAGGTGATTGTAAATCAAACAGTTTGTGATTCYTTACTTGAATTTCTGACTGGATCTATCCAATGCTGTCAAAAATGGGCATTAATAAATCACCTTCAGGCACTGGATGCTGTCTTCTTTGAGAATGGTGCTCAGTGTATCAAGGTAGGACAAAAGATTAGTGAAAAATAAACTAACTGATCAATCAGTAAATAATTKACTTATTATTAAGATCAATTATATAAATGAATGTGTTAATAATGACTGAAAATAAACAATTTAAAAAGAATGTTTAAATATTACTGTAATATATATTTTGGCCATATGTAGTGAATTATTCATTGAATGTGGAAACTTGTATTGTTTAAATCGGCCGTTGAGTGTTGGCTTGGCAMCTTACTCCTTGAACAATGTTATGAATTGATGGTGTGTCTCTCTAGCCCTGCAAGTCAGAGGTTGTGAATTGAACCTCATACTGGTCCCAACTAARGCAGGATWTTTTATCATCTAAAATTCTTACTTGTTTGTTATATATTGAATAACTAATCATGCCATCAAATTACTTGAGTATGACAACCTAAGGTTGAAAGGCTTCTGATGTAATATTATTCTCATCCTCTTGTAGTTTGCTGATAAGCTTCTTGCACCATCTCCAGAAGGTTTACTGACTGGTCTAATAAATGGGGCAGGCTGGGACATTGAAGTCAGAATCAAAGCTGTTATTTGTGTTGGAAACATTTGCAATAAGTATGTGACTGGAATCCAGTGTACAATTGTATTATAATGACTGATTTTACTGCTCTAAAGTTGGTGTACAATAGTTGTTTGGGAACCCTGTGTGTTTTAAATTGAGATTAGGTTAGAGGAGTATGTAGTTTTGCAGTAACAATTGTAAAACTCGTATATGATATTGGATTAGGAATTTTATATATTACAAAATGAGTCAAAGGGAAGTGTAGAGTATGTTCTAAAGTTGTTCTAAAATATTGATTGAGTGAATTTTGGGAGCCATACAGTATATTATAAATTGAGACTGGACATGGAGAGACTAGGAGAGTATGTACTATGTGATATTAATAATAATCACATTACTATTACAAGCCCTCTTTAATGTGTCTGAGAAGGGTAACAATACAGTGTATGTTTATGTTGTAGTTTAGGTTCAATATATTTTTGAACCAGTTTAATGTAAAGAGTAGAAATTACAAAGAGTAGAAATTACGKCACCATAAGCAGCCAATAAACGAAGAGCATGTACCTTTGTGGCTCAAACASTTAATGGTGAAATATGTGAACCATTTGAGAATTACTTTACAATTCAACAACATGAGAAAAACACAAGAAATAACTGTACAAACATTCTAATGCCATCTTTTAAAACTGAATATGCCCGTAAAGGCTTCCAATATATGGCTGCTCACACCTTTAATCAGCTACCAATTGATATAAGAAAATCAGTCAATTTAAGTAACTATAATGGACTTATAAGTAATTATTTTAAATGTAATGCAGAAATTTAAGGACTATATTTTAGATTTAAATTTTATATTTTATTCATATATATTTTTATAATGCATACTTTTGATAACTATTTGTAAATAGATTATATATATATAATTTAATTTTAATTTTATTTTTCTTAAGTCCCTTTTCGGTTCTTTTACATTTCTTAGTTCAGTTGAAAAATGTTATTTTCGCAGGACCCCAATTGATAGCAGCATTAGTTGACGGGGCTATCCTGCTTAAATATTTATATTATTATTATTATTATTATTATTATTATTATTATTATTATTATTATTATTATTATTATTATTATTATATGTAATTTGTTCCAGCACAAGACTTCTTGTACTGCTCTTTTTTTTGCTTTGGCATTCTTAAAAGAACTAAAATAACTATATCCCATCTCATTCTCTCCCATTTTCTATCTATTATCTTATTTTCTACCTTCTACTATTTCATACTTAGTCTTAACCTATACCCCACAGAAATATTGATATTTTCTATATTTTTAATTTATGAATAACACTTACCTTCATCAGGGTTTGAACCACTGAACTMTTGTTTTATAGTCAACAGTACTACCAATTATACCATTCAAGGATTTTGTTGGTAGTAATGTTTGCAAATTATTTTTATCTTAATTGTAAATTATTAATGAAGACAATTTTTATATAATGCTGGCTCAACCATATTCCCAACCCTAAACCTATCCCTAACCCCAACCCTAAACCTAACCCAAAACCTTACCCTAACCCTAACCCAAAACCTAACCCTAAACCTATCCCTAACCCTAACCCTAACCCAAAACCTAACCCTAACCCTAACCCTAAACCTAACCCTAAACTGATTTGTACTGGATTGAGTTATATTGGACTGGCTCAAAATAAACTGAACCAGTTCAGAAGAAATTGAACTGGTTCAAAATCATATTGAACCTGAACTACAACAT